TGAGCACGCCATTTCACTTTTCTTTCAACAGTTCACTGCAGTTCTTCCAGCCGTCCACAATTTCTCTGCTCTCTTTTTCTCATGGTCTTCTCCTTCTTTCCCATCGCCCGGCTTGCCACAGGTTTGCCTGCTGTGTCTAAAAGTAGCAGCAGCAGCAACCCAGACTGACAGCAGCTCATTGGCTCATTTGGATCACGTGCAGCCTGGAGCCGGACGCTCCCCAGGGCTTTACCGTATTAACAGGAGAAGAGGCGCAAGGGAAGTTAGTCACTGTCAGACAATATGCAGTAATTTATAAATGTTTTAAATCAGGTTGGGTCTGGATCCGCTAACCCTTGACCTCTGCTTTAAAATCTCAAAACTTAATTTAAAGATTCACTGATTACTAAATTATCATCTCAACAATCAGTTAATCTGAATTAATCACATTAATTGTTTCGTTTTAGTTCTAATATTACTAAAACCAACCTGATGGTATTAACATAGTGCTGGTCAGACTGCTCTAAGCTGCTCTATCCTTTACTCTAAAATCACTATTTATTCACAACAATCTGAATATTTTAGAAAAAATAATGAGGAAATCTACTGACCTCATTATTCTATTATTTCCCATCAATCTAAAATCATCACCTTTCATTCCTGCTTTGTGTTAAATATTAGAAAGTGTTGATAACATGACAATAGCAATTAACACTAGTTAATTAATAGCAATAGTGATTAATGTAATCATTTCAATGCGCCTGCATTATTAGTTTTTGCCGTTCGGGGAACTGTAGCGCCGCCGAGCGACTGACGGAGAAAGCAGGGTGATGCATTCAGGAGAACCACGGAAAAATGGAACAGAGGTTTATGACGGACAGCAGCTGAAGTTTCATGGATTCACATTAGAGCTGAAATAATTCGTTGGATTAATGAGATTATTGAGATAATCCTCAACTAATATAGATATCAGTTCATAATCAGGAGTATAGAGATTCTAAAACAGATCTGGTTTTCATCTGTTAATCTGCTCTATAATCCAGAACTCCTCAAGTGGAAAAGTTTGAGTTTCATTTAGTAAAACATATTTCAGGAAACTTTGGCTTCCGATCATTAATCGATTCATTGAAAAAATGATCTACAGATTAATCGATTAGCAAAATGATCTTTGGTTGCAGCCCTAATCCAGATACAGCCGTAATATCGTGACGCAGCTTTTAGCTTCAGCCGCCATCAGGACGGCGTTCCGGCTGGATCGTTAAGTTTCCTAATGATCCTGAGCTGCTTTCAGGGCGGGACGCTCCACTGCGTCTCACTGGAAAAGTCGCTCCCAGCAGCTGTACCTACAGCGCCCCCCCCAGGCCAGAGAGAGAACAATGGCCGCTGTTTGAAGCAGACTTGGACGGATTGTTATTCCAGCTCCGCAGATGATGCTGAGGCAACAGAAACATTAAAGATGTTGAGAAGGAAGCTGGACGCTGATGTGGAGCTCAGAGCAAAGATGGCTGCTGCTCCAGATGATTACAGGAAGCTACTGTAGCGCCGCCGCCGCCTGACGCCATGGAAATAATACAGCTGAAGGACCCATGGAGCTGCTGCACCTTTAAGAATATAGCAGACATGTTCTTATAACGTCGTGGACGAAGCATTTGAAAATCTAGTTCATTTAAAGTATTTTATTCTCATTTATATTTATGAAATAATAACTGCTTCCATCTGTTCCAGAGGAGCAGCAGCCATGTTTCCCCACCATGGAATTTCTCGCGGCGCTGCGGTCAGATTAGCATCACCCAGAGGTCCGCTCTGGATGGCTCCGCCTCCATGTCCCTCAGCATCACTACCCTCTCCTGAGCTTGTTGATGGTTCAACCACAGAAACCAGTTCCAGACTGGATGTTCTGGAACAATCATCTACACTATAGCATGCTAAGCTAGCTCCCACAGTGTTCTGTCGTCACCATGGAGACGGTTTTTACCAGCGCCGGGCATTAGCCTGTTTGAATCGTAATAACTCAGAACCAGCTGGTTTGTCCTGCTGCTTGATTTTAATGCAGAATTCCATGAAATCAAAATGGCATCCTCCGCGCCTTAAATCATCTTCCAGACAGCCGGTGGTTTTTGTTGATGGATGATCGTATCGAACCCAGGACGCCGCCCTCACCTGCTGAGCGTTCCTCTTGTCGGTCGTGGCTCTGCGTAAATTCTCAGCGCCTTCCTTGATCTTCAGCTCCTTCCGGATCTCCCTGCGGATCTTCTCCCGGTGCTCGTCCAGGAGCTGCTGAACGCTGGAGTCTGAGAAGTCGGAGTTCTGGTCCAAACCGAGCTGCTCCAGAACAGAAAGCCCGTCCGGATCACTCTGGAACAGAAAGACGGGGAGATGAGAAAAATGGAGGACAGAGGAAACCGTGGCTGTAAAAAAAGGCGATAGAAGCAACGATAATGTTGATTAACTCCACATTAATCCTTCTGACCTGTTAATGTGTGGAGCTGAGAGCGAGGGGGGGGGGAGAGATGGCGAGGCAGATAGGGCTGTAATGGGAGGAAAGAGGGAGATAGTGATGGGGCGAAGAGGAAAAGGCCAGTTAGGTAAATATTCCAGGCCTCAGAAAGGAAACAGATGAGAAAACAGTAAAAAGATCTGCTGAAGCCAAAAAGATCAGAAAGAAGCCGTTTAAAAGCAGTGAATGTAAAGAAATGTATTAATTATGCTGCTTTTAGGTCAAAAGAAACAAACAACGGACCAAGCGGTCTGGCTGTCGATCATTTTCCCCTCATTGGGTCTCTGATGTGTTTCTTATCCTGGTTTCCTCAGTAAAACACGCTTCCCTTACGCTCTGCAGAAGCAAACCTTCAAATATCTCCTAAAAGTTAAATACAGAGACTCAACGAGACACTGAGACACGATCAGACTCCAGAACGAGTCCAAGTCAGTCATGGAAACGGAGAGGAGCAGAAACCAAACTGACCTCGGAGCTGTCCTCATCCTCCTCGTCCCCATGCCAACACATCGCCACTCAGATCCGACTCTAGGCCGACAGAGAGACACTAATCCGGGTCTATTCCAACGGCGAGCGAGCAGCTAAAGCCCGACCAGGAGCAGAATGTGCTGCTGGACGGGCGACACAATAGGAAGAGATAAAGAGAGGGAGAGAGGAGGGGGGGGGAACGCCTCCAAAAGAGGATATCCGTCCCAACACCACGCTGCTCAGGCCTTTCCTGTTTCCTCTGCAGGTTCTGCTGCTGTCAGAGTCCGATACAGACACCCAGAAAACGCCCGCCGGCCCCCTCCCCGTATGGAATCATCCCCATCATTAGGACCTCAGGCCCGGATGGATGAAGTCTTACTCAGATGTTTATGTTCAAACTTTTTCCTCTGCTCTCGCTTCAGCCGCTGATATGATCAGAAACAGGCAGGATGAGGTTTCTGGACCAAAACCAGGCGGTAATACTGGGACGCGCTAACGTTGCTTCTTGGAGCGCTCATTTCCTCTCTAAACCTCAAGCGCTTCCGCTTCTCCTATAGAAAGAAGAAGAAACGGAGATAAAATCTGTAAATGAGCAGCTGTGGGGGGGATAGCCATCAATATGGCTTCCTTTACCCTTCAGAGTTCAGATTAAACTGCCAGATGAACATTATTGGTTTAGAGATACAGTAGATTATCGGACATAAAACAGATGATCATCGGCATACAGGCGCAGCCACATCTACTGGATCTGCTGCCTGCAACGTTTAAACAGCTTCTCATTTCAACAGATTATCTGACTAAATGTTTTAATCTAACTCAACAATCAACAACTATCTACTGGACTTTGTTTCCAAGTTTGAAGACGTTTCTCTTCCATCCAGGAAGCTTCCTCCTCTTTTCAAAATGTCTGGATTAGTGTTGAGATCCAGGCTTTATAGAGTGGACCAACAAAGCCTGGTTTTGACCTAGAAAACATGCAAATAGAACCAAAATAACAGGCTAACCAGTACTAATGGGGTCGTTTAGGTCATTGTTGGCCTGGTTACCAGATACTGGTCTATGCCTCTGAAAGGGGAGTCTTTAGGGCCTGATGTCTTGGTCCCCCGCATGGCGATGAGGATTAAGATGATAACAGGAAGGAATCAACTCTATCGCTGCATTGTAGCCCCCCCCTCTGTTTAAGGTTGTTTTTTCTTCCTTAACATAGATGGACGTGGAACAGCTCTCATTGATTCCCTTCGTGAGCGGAGCGCTGACGGAGGAATCTGGGGGTTAGGGTCTGTTTGGTTGGAAATGTTCTGGAATTTTGTGTTTGCAGAAAATCCTCTTGAGTTTTTCAGAGATTCTGAACTCTATAAAACCTGGAACTAAACGCTATTTCTGACATTTTGAACTGAAAAATCTTTCTGGATGGAAGAGAAACGTCTTCAAACTTGGAAACAAAGTCCAGAGGAATTTTTTTTTTACTGTTTTGGACTCTAAACCTGGATGACTGAGAATCTTCATCAGCGTATTTTAATCTAACTGTTTTAATTATGTTTAATAGTTTTACAATAAATCTCAATAATTCTTTGTCTCAAACTAACCCTACCTGATTTTAGAGATGGGGGGGGGGGTCCGTATGTCTGTTACACTGTGGTGTGGAGAATTTGTTCCTCAAAACCTGCTGACCGGGTGTTATACCACATTTCAGCCACTAGGGGAAACCCACAGTCCCGGCCTTCCTGACCTTTGCCAAAGTCTCTTCTAACAAACTTTCCTGTCTCTATATTATCAAAAATAACAAAAATAAAAGCCAGTAGAGCCTAAAAGATAGAGTTACAATTATCTCTTTATTTGTGTTTGTTTATTCTAAGGGTAAAATGAAACGACCCTAATTACACTCAAAGACTACTGAAATAAATGAGACGCTTCTCTCCAGCACTTTCTACACATCTACAACCAGCAGAGGTCATTACTGGAGCTCCACCAGAGAGACGCCTTCGTCTCTATTTCAGCCAACGATTCGGCTTCTTGACCATAAAGCGACTTCAGAGAAAACGTTTATGTTCTGGTGACGCAGCAGCAGATAAAGATGGACTAATTATACCTGGAATTGTTTTGGTTGGTCATTTTTTCCGCTTAAAGTGACTCATTTCCCTTTAGGGCTTCAGACCAACAGCAGAAACTACAACACTGTTTCCTGTGATTTAACGTCTGCGGAAATTCAGGAAAAAAGGACCCTGAGGCAGCCATCTTTCATCCATCCATCCATCCATCCATCCATCCATCCATCCATCCATCCATGCATCCTTCATTCATCCATCCATCCTTCATCCATCCATCCTCCATCCATCCATCCATCCATCCATCCATCATCCATCCATCATCCATCATCCATCCATCCTCCATCCATCCATCCATCCATCCATCCATCTTTCATACATCCATCCATTTTCTGACACGCTTGTCCTAAGTGGTGTTGCGGGGGTGCTGGTGTTTATCTCCAGCTGTCTACGTGTGAGAGGCGGGGTCCATCCTGGACAGGTCTCCAGTCCATCGCAGGGAAACACAGAGACAAACAGGACAAACAACCACTCACACCTACGGAGGATTTAGAGAAGCCAATGAACCTAACATTCATGTTCTTGGACTGTGGGAAGAAGCCGGAGTATCCAGAGAGAACCCAACCCGGGAATCAAACCCGCAACCTTCTTGCTGGAAGGCAGGAATGCTAGCCACTGCGCCACTGAGCAGCCCCCCCCGAGGTAGCCTCAGACGTCAGATTGGCATTGATGGATAATGATGGTGGGTAATACTGAAGCTGAAACGTCCGTCTGGCTGTATGAGCGGGAAAGTTATCATTTTAAGTCAAACGGCAGACATTTTTTTTTCTGACAGCTTTGGCTAAGAGCAAACATCCAGGTTATCCTATATAAAAAAAGCTAATCAGCTAAATAAGGTAACAGCTTTTTGATCATTCGATGATGGCCGGGTTTAAGTCTGCAGCCTTTACATGCGTCTGCCATCGTACAGCCGCTGGAACGCCGCCTCCCGTCTCACCGTCTGGTAAAGGCGTGTCGGCAGATGTTTGAACAAAACATGAAGGATAATGACGCCAACACTGCAGAACCATTGAACCAATTAACTTCAGTTGAAGGCAGAGAGAGATTTTTCCTTTTATCCTGTGAGAATGAACCTTCTCAGCCGCCGTACAGAGTTTCCCTGAGGAGCAGGAGGAGGTGGGGGTCAGCCCAGCAGGAGGCGCCCAGCAGGAGGCGCCCAGCAGGAGGCGCCCAGCAGGAGGCGCCCAGCAGGAGGCGCCCATCAGGAGGCGCCCAGCAGGAGGCGCCCATCAGGATCCTTTAGAGAGCAGAGCTGATGCCCGTCAGTCACTGTTCAATCCCTGCTGAGCAGGAGAGCATCTCCACAGCCATCAGTCAGCCTCAATGCACCCCCCCCAAAAGAAATAGTTCAATAATACAGGCTGTTCAGACACTTCTTTTGACTGACTTTGACCTGGATGACTGAGAAGTTTCACCAGCAGCTCTACACATTATGCCCACATGCTTTGCATGCTGCATTCAGCCACGTTTCCTTTGAAAGAATCCTCGATGGTTCCTGCCTTCATCCACCTGACAGCACAGACCTTCACAGATGCACTTTGGTACCGAGCGGTTAGGAACTGAAACTAGCAGGTTGCTGCCGCAGGGCCACCGTACAAACCAACAGCAAGCACCGTGAGACTTTCAGTGGTTTCATAAACTAGTGCAAACTACTCCCTTCAGATTTCCTACCTCCCTAAAGTCTCAGTGAAGCGACGCGTGAATGATTGCTCTGACAGGCTTTACAGATAAGCTTCTAGGAAACACAGCTCTACAGATCTGCAGACCATCTAAAGCAATGCATCGCTCCTCTAGTGTGTCTGCTGGAAATGGGTCAGGATGAAATAGTTTGTGCCTGAGCCTCAGAGACACCAGTCTGGATCTAAACTGCTCCGTTCTGCTGATTATGAACCATGAAGTCACAGAAAAACATCTGCAGGCATTCCTGAGACGCCTGAGTGATGACATCAGGCGACCTGGCAGGACGGAGCGCAGGGAGGGGAAGGAGGGAGGAATCCTCCTATGTAGGGAAACATTGGGGGGTTACTATGGTAACAGAATGCATTCCCACTTTACATGGAGAGCAATGATACAGGAGGCTATTATTCACAACGTGAGCTTTAAAACACACAGTCTGAGGTATTTGGCTAAATGTTTACACCACGTCATGGAGCCTCAGGTAGAAGAGGATCTAAAAGCATTTATTTTGATTTTATTCAGTCTTTAAATTAAAGACCTGATTCAGTGAATTAATGCTGATTAGCATCTGCAGACCTGCAGACTTTGCAACCATTAGCTAACCTTTGGTTAGCATGTTAGCTCTGCCAGAAGGAAAGCAGCTTCCTGATGTAGCCGATGTCTCCCTTATTGGGCTGCTAGCATGTAGCACGGCCTGAGCTCCGTCCCATGTGACTCCAGCCGATGATTCCTATTGGTGCAGAGTCCTTGATGCGACCAGAGGTAAATATTTGGATATTATTAAATTAATAAATCATTTACAGACTATTTCTTCAGTGAAATGAATACTTTGATTCTGCACCACTCTGGATGATCTGTGATTTTTGAACTATTTATCACTTTGATGATAGTTAAGACTAAAGCTGTAACTTATGGTCATTTTGATGATTCATTATTAATCAGAGTAAAAGGTTCCTTAAGAAGATTTAAACCAGGAGAAGCTGAAACTATGTCTGGATAGAGCATCTTCACATTGTTTTATATCAGCTGTGCTGCTGCCATCAACACCTTTGTTTCTAGATGTTGGAGCTTGGCCTGTT